AAGGAAATGTTAGCTTTGTAGTCTGGGTTGCTGCACGAGGCCATGTTGGGGTCAGTGGTCCTACTGCAGTAGGGAGTCATGTTGATGTGTACGGCCAGTGTTGGCAGAGATGCAAGTGCGTGGCCTATAGTGATGCCTGAGGTCATTTAGATGTCTGTGGTCCATGCTGCTGTCAAGGTCCATGCTGAGGTCCATGAGCCTATGTTGTCACTGGAGGCTATGTTGATTTTCATGGCCTAAGCTGTCATTGATGTCATGTTGGGGTCAGTGCTCCTACTGGGCATCCTACTGGGGGGTGTGTTGATGTCCATGTCCAGTCCACTGACTAATGCTGGAGTCCATGCAGCAGCTGAGGGTTGGTATTCATGGTCTGAGCTGCCACTGAAGACCATGTTGAGGTCAATGGCCAGAGGTCATATGGATGACTGTGGACTGTGCTCCTGAAGAAGCCTATGTTGATGTCCATGATCTGTGTTTCCATCAAAGACAACACAATGGCCATGGTCTGTGCTGCTGCCTGAAGTCATGTTGGTGTTCATGGGCCAAACTGCAGCTGGGGACCATATTGGTGTCAGTGAATCATGCCATGGAGGCCATGTTGATTTCTGTGGTCTGTGTTGTGACCAGAAACCAGGTGGAAGTCTATGGTCCATGCTCTCACTGACTGTGAAGAGCAAGGAGACTACTCTTTTTTTTTTTATCAGAAAGTATTATATGTTATTAACTTCTGTTTTAGTAAGTTAACTATATTCTCCTCTGAAAGAAAAAAAGTCTTTCTTCCACATAGACAAGAAACTCTAGTGGGCAGACCAAAACTTAGCTCAACTGGGAACTTCTAACAAAAGAGATGGAAGAAATTCCACCATCCTTCGAAAGAAGACTTCTGGGCCAAACAATACTGTGGTTTAAGATATGAAATTATTATGTCAATGTGGTACATTTGAATATCTCTGAACTAGTTACATAGTATAAAAATTTTCATTCAATTGTTTTTACATCTGCAGTTTTTAGATTAAAATCTCAATTAAGTGAAAAATTTTAAATCTTACAGAAGCCTTACAGTGAATTACAGAAGTCCCTGTGACTTACAGAAGTCATACCTCTTATGTGAAAGACCGTTTTCTTTAGTATTAGGCATGGTTTCCTCCACAACCCATAACTAAAGGCTAGAATAGGAGCCAACAGATTATTTACCTGTGAAAGCAATGGCACCTTATGCAAACAGTGTCATGCATTCACCACAGATGGACTTACCTTGTTGTGCTTCATCATACATTTTCATGTGAACAACCTCAGAAGGAAGCTACTCTTGCAGAAGTATTCTGCTGACTGCTGACTCACAGATGAGAAGGAGAGACATAGAAGGCTTCTGTGACAACCTCTAACCCCCATCGCCAATCCCCCAAAAGCAACATCCAAGAAGCCATCAAAGAGAATCCTTAAAAATTGTGATAAGGATGCTGAAGTGTAGCTCTCCACTATTCATGACTTTTGGTGTGCCTGCATGTAAGGAAGACTCAGTTTTCTTTAAAGAGCTGGCCATGTGGAGAATGACAATGCTCCTAAGAGTATGTGGGCAACACAAACTTTTTTTCTTCTTTTTTTGTGGGGGGGGGAATAGACCTGGGAGGACAGGGAAGTGAGTGTGAGAGAGATGCATTATGTGAAATTCCCAAATAACATGGAGGGGAAAAACTCAAGACATTATTCTGTTTCTGTTGAAATAAGTAAGCTATCACTTCTATAGAATAAGATCAGACTATAATCTTGTAAAACATAGACATATATCTGTACATAAATATATGTATATGAAGATATAAGTATACACATATTGGTATCTTTAGTCCCAAACAAATGTAACTTTAGTTAGTTCCTGAAATGTCATCGTCCAAATATTTTAAGTAAGAATATAAGTACTGTGGAAATTTGACCTACTTAAAAGGTCATGTTTGAGAAAATCTGTACTTTAAAGTTCCTATAAAATCCATGTAAGGAAAACAAGACACAGCACATACAAGTGTATTAATTACTTTCTGTGCCAAATCTGTCACCTTTGTAACCTTTAGTGAGTCATTTAATGTCTCCCATCTGGACTTGGTTGCAGCTACCTCCAAATGTATTCTTCTCACTTAGGTCGGGGGACATCTTCAACTGATAGAAGTAAGAATAACTAATGCTCAGAGAATAGTAACCAGCTCTGAGAAACTGAGTTAAGGGCTGTCAGATGAAAGAGATCGGCCACTATTCAACAAGACCTGCTAATTATCACGTCAGATCTTGCTCTCTGTCTTCCAGAGTCTACCAGATCTACAAAAGTCACACTTTCAGTTATGAATCTGTATCAAGTATAAAGCAAGCCAAATTTAAAAAAAAACAGAGACAGAGAATAAAAATATTATCAAATTGGGTTCTAAAAATCTCCGGCAGAAATCAACTGAGGAAGCCTCTTTAAGGCAGGCAACTGAACTTTCTGACAGAGAATCCTAGGCAGAACAGTGTCCCCTTGGGCAAGGCACCCAAATATAAGGTAAAACAACATCAGGAAAGTGGTGTTATAAACTTCCAGCAGAAACTGACTGGGGGAGTTGAGGTACTCAGCTGTACTTCCTACTTCTTTCTCCCTTAGGCATTTTTATGGCGCAGCATAAAGAGCAGTAATCCTGTTGGAAATGGCTTAGCTCTAGCTATCTTAATAAAAAGATAGTTTTAATCCTAGGCTCTTTCGTTCTCCCCCCTCCCTGTCAGAGTTAGGGCAGGAAACTTTCCCCAGCCAAAGGACCTTGGATCATAGCCACTGTTTAGTGTAAGTCTGCTCAAGATGCTTAGAACTTGAGAGGATGGTATGCATGAAAGGAGCGCTTTCCCTACTAACACCAGAAATCATAGAATAAACGGTGACAACAGTGTGATCTTTATTGGCTCACAGGAATGAAGAGACCAGAAATGGCTTTGACTGCACACTAAGGGTGGCCCAGTTTATTAGCAAGATGCTATGAGCAGCCCTTGAATTCTATGACTGACTGTCCCCGTCATGAAGGGAAGAACACCTCTAACCTTGTTAGCATTCCATACAAGAGTCCAAGAACCTCGGAATCACTATCAGACTCAGATTAGGTTCAGTACTCTATCAGCCACAAATCTGATGGTCTTGGCCAGAGGTGACAGATCATGCTCTATCAGTAGAGCCAGGGATGGTATTGGGCTTCTCTATTGTTGCATGGACCACTGAATAGAAACATATCCAAAGGGAATATCCTCTTTACTAAGGAGGAAAGCAACAAGATTTCTCCTTGTGGATTGATGACTAACTTATCCACCATCATAGAGCCCTCATCTAGTAGCTGATGGAAACAGAAGCAGACACCCACAGCTAAACACTGAGCTGAACTGGAGTCCGGATGCAGAGAGGGAGGACAAGACCAGGCTGCAGAAACACATAGTGACAGCTAATCTGAACAAGGAGAAGCTAATGGGTCCCCAGACTGATAGCTAGAAATCCAGCATTGAACCAACTCAGACCCCCTGAATATGGGTCTCAGTTAGAAGGCCTGGGCAGTCTAAGGGACCTCTGACAGTGGAACCAGGATGTATACCTGGTACACAAAAAGACTTTTGGACCGTGTTCCCCATGGAGGGAACCTTAACCTAGAGGCAGGAGGGAGGGCCTAGTCCCTACTCCAAATGACTTGACAGATTTAGAGGACCCCTCCAGGAAGGCATCACCCTACATGTGGAGTGGGAGGGGGGATGGGATGAGAGGGTGGTCAGGGGATATGAGACGGTGGAAGGGAGGGAGGGAGAAGGGGAAGGACAGAGAGGGAACTGAGATCGATACATAAAATAAGAAAATTAAATAAATTTTAAAAATAAGAATTCTCATTGTGCTAAAGGATCTCTCCTTTAGTATTTCACTTTGGACAAATGAGGAAAAATTAAGTGCAGAATGCCATATTAAGCTATCATTTATATAAAGAAAGGGGAATACATATAAATAAATATATCATACATTGTCACAAAAATTTGTTGGAATGAAAATAGCTAATTTCAGTTTGGGAAGGGGAGGACTTTTCACCAGACATCTTACATAAATTTTAATTTGTTAACTGTAGATGTGGTAACTGCCCCAAAGGCACCACCAAAGAAAGAAAAACACTATATAAAAACTAGGACAGGGAAACAGCTGTAAATGGTGGAATGCAGAAAAGGGGGGAGAATTCAAGGTCACCCAAAGGGTAACTTCTGGATTTCCCTCCCCTTCTCACTTCTAACAAGAGATTGTCCCTCCTGAGTTCATCACATTGTAATATTGACTATACTTTATAGTAGCAACAAATATACCGACATTTTTCAGGTTAACCTGGTTCCCTTTCACTATAATCATATCCACTTAAACATTAGCTGACAGTTTCACAGAGTAAAACAAGTTTCATAGCCAATGCTCTCTCCTCAACTCTTTCAATCATCATGAAATCTTTATGAGGGAGATATTGTCCTCATTTTTATAGATATGAAGTCAGAGATTTTTCTATAGTCATTTCTATAGATATGAAGTTTAAATCCAGGCAGTGTGGCTCCAGATTTTTTCACAACTTCCCACATGCCAATTATAACTCGACTTCTACTTAAAGAGCACAGATTATCTGTTTCTTATTAACAATCTTCATTTGTTACTCTTGGTATTATTTTTTTTCTTTTAAAGTGTGTGTGTATGTGTGTGTATACATACATGCACAAGGTTTGTCTAATTATTCAGGAATAAAGGCACAATTCAGTCCCATGGTTAATATAACTCAATTTCTAATTAATTGAAAATATCTAAAGGTAAGGCTTAGGTCATACAAAGAATCTTGAACTGAAGACTAAAAAACACATTTGAAATTTGGAATATGGACTTTTGAACATGGAAACATGTTCAAATTCCAGAGGGTTCTTAATTTTGCTACCATTATTTAAGAGAGACTTTTACCAAATTCAAAATTCTATTTTTATTGCTTTTTTAGGATTTCATCAAAGGTCTTTCCATTTTGCTTCGTGGGACAGTACAAGAAAAACTCAACTGGGCATTTAATTTGTATGACATAAACAAAGATGGCTACATCACTAAAGAAGTAAGAGATGGCACACCAATTTAGCTGTCCTCTGGGATAGTTTTACTTCAAAATATTAAACAATTTTAATGATGACTTTAAAAATCACATTTTAGGAAATCAACAATATGTGATATTGGTAGAAATGGGATACATTTTAATTAAAAAATGCAACAAATAGGACTCATTTGTAGAAAATCTCCAAAGAAAATATGAAACATACCAATATTATATTCCTTTTTTTCCTGTTGATAATGCAGGGGAAAGCGGGGATCCTTGAGAGTGGTAGAGTGTAGATCGAAGTTTCTGTTCTGCCAGGTCCCACAGCTATTTTGTCCCAAAGAAACACACTGATGCTTATATTGACTATAAACTGTTTGGCTGGTGGCTCAGCCTTCTTAATAGCTAGCTCTCTCTTAATCGTTAACCCATTTCTATTAATCTGTGTATCTCTACATGTTCTTGGCTTACTGGCAATGCCTGAGCCTCTTGCTTTCCCAGCAGCTACATGGCATCTTATTCATGATTCACTCTCTGAGTTCTTCACCCCAGAATTCTCCTAGTCTGGTAGCCACGCCTATACTTCCTGCCTGGCTACATCCTGCCTGACCATTGGCCAAATCATCCCCTTTCAGCAGAGACCTTCTTGTGTCAAGTGGACAATAGTTTCAGGGACAAGGGCCCCAGAAAATCAATAGTTATCAAAGCTATTCCACCCAATGGCTACCAGATCTTTCCCATGTTGGGGCATGGATAAGGATAATGGTCAGCTCAACCAAAACCATGAAGGTAAGCAAATAATGAGAGATTCACAAATTAAAATTCTACTTAATTGATTTAAAACATCAGGAGAGAAGGCAAGCAATAAAGAATGAGGGCAGGTAGGCACCCTTAGTGTAGGATGCTAATAATATTTAAAATATATATATATTCTGCTGGAAGTCTGGGTGTACTTAATGGTCAAATGGCCTGTGCTTCTCTCTGCATTAATATCTTCCCCAAAGTGAAGGTTTGAACAAACATCCCCATTTGAGAAAAAGTATTGAGGACCAATGACATGACATGCCTCACAGGATACAGACTCAGTGTACCAGGTCACCACTGCTTGATTTGTCATTGGTTGTCTCTTGGGCTGTGGATACATAGGGTCAATTATGGTGTCATCAAGGAGTGCTAAATTTAAGACTTCGTGAATAGAATTACTCCTTGCATATTTGGTATAGCATGAATATTCACTGCCTAGGTACCTCAAGAATATGGAGGAACCTAGAGAACATTAATAAATCTTGGACATTCCAATTTGAACCATTATTTCCTTCAATGGTGAGAGCTGAATACAGTGCTAATGATCTATCCCTTTCTGTTTAGTATAGCTCATCAAGTCTGCCTACAACTTAGTTATATCGGACTACTTACTTATGTTAGAAACATCTTTTAAAGTTTCACTTATTTTTACAAACTGCTTTATCAGGTAATCCATACCCTCAAAAGTAAATACTCTGCCTACAACTTAGTTATATCGGACTACTTACCTATGTTAGAAACATCTTTTAAAGTTTCACTTATTTTTACAAACTGCTTTATCAGGTAATCCATACCCTCAAAAGTAAATACGAATAGAACTGTGTCACCTGCCTAATCTGTTATGTCAAATAGTAAATCTGAATAACTAGATATTATTTTACCTCCTATAAGATTAAAATGGTGTAAGGAGTATGGGTTTTTCCGCCCGCCGCCGCTGGTCTTGTCCCGCTGCCACGCCAGCCCCAAATAATGCACAGAGACTCTGTATTTGATACAATGCTATTGGCCAGGTGCTAGTTTCTTATCGGCTAGCTCTGTCTTAATTATTAACCCATTTCTATGTATTTCCACGTGGTCTTACCGAGAGTGGAGGAATGGCGGTTCTCTTCTCTCCAGGCTCTCCATCCTGACCCCTTCTTACCACTTCCTATTTCCTCCTTGTCTCCTAGTCCTGCCTATCTTGCTTTTCTATTGGCCAACAGTGCTTTATTCATTAAACCAGTATGAGAAACATATACAGAATGACATCTCCCATCAAAATGGCATGACAAAAAAATAGAATTTACTTTAAAGGATAACAAAATGTTAAGGTACTTAACATTTGAATTCATATTCTTCTATAACATCTTCAATTTACTGCCAAAATAGGAAAAGGGGGAAAAATAACTCCAAGGACTTAGCAATTAGTAGTTTTATTACTAAATGAAGGATATTTCTAATAAGTGGAAATTAATAAGTGTGTAATAGTTCAGTAAAACCAAGTCTATATTTTTTTAATTAAAGCATTAAACTAGACTATTCCTTTTCCAACCAAGTGAGATACATAAAATCTACTTCATTTCAAAACTGCTTTTGGCCTGTTTGTTGGCTTCCAGCAAACCAAACGGCACCTCACAAAGAATTTAAGAAATAAACAGGCAAATAGAACACTATGAACAGAGTCTCCTAATACATCTCAGATGTGCTTCTTCACATGATGTGGTGTGCAGGCTCACATGAGTTCCTTTCCATTTCAGGAAATGCTGGACATAATGAAAGCAATATATGACATGATGGGAAAATGCACCTATCCTGTCCTCAAGGAAGATGCTCCCCGACAGCATGTAGAGACATTTTTCCAGGTGGGAATGAAGGATGTGATGGGGTGAGGGGCAGTTTGAATAGATTTCTTGACACTCATGTAGCACCTTGATGTAAAAAAAGAAAAGAAAGGTAAAGGAGAATATTCACAGGGATAGAATAGGACCCATAATATCTTTATCTCATAATATGGGTTTCTGAATTTATTATTAAAGACAATTGTAATTCCATAAGTGACTACATTCTAAGCCATTCTCTTATTTCCTAAGTGTTGTCATGCAGTGCCCACAAGAGCAATGATAACCAATTATCACTACTACTCTCCCATTTTACAGATGAAAAAATCAAGACACTACAGTTCCATGAACTGTGTGAGTCCTGTCATATTTAGAAAACAGTTTAGGTGACTCATGCTTCACATTACAGGGAAAAGGCTACAACCTATGATGACTTGTCTCAACCATTGTAAGAACTCACTAGTTCCTCCTAGCATGGAATTGTCCCGAATAACATATGATGTGCTACTTTCTTACCTGTTTCTATTAGGTACACTGAGGCTATCAAAAGACAATCCACTACAACACTTTATTCTTTTTTTTTTTCCAACAGAAGATGGACAAAAATAAAGATGGTGTTGTTACCATTGATGAATTCATTGAAAGTTGCCAAAAAGTAAGTAAGGAAAAGAACTATTCCTTTTGTTAGCATCAGCTACAGTGAGCACAGCCAATATAAACTGAGCAAAATATAAATCAAGTGTATAAGCTGAGCACGATAAGGAGACAAACTTCTCATGTGAACACAAGCAAATTTATGCGCATACCCGATTTGATAGCATGTCTATCCTGAGGCAAAAATTATGCATGCATTCCTGTTTGTTTCAGGAAACCTTTAGAGGTTACTCGTTACTGACAAATAAAAAAATAGACAACAGGTGGTGTTAGTGCATGCCTTTCATCCAAGCATTTGGGAGGAGAGGCAGGCAGATCTCTAAGAGTTCAAGGCCAGCCTAGTTTACAGAGTGAGTTCCAGCACAGCCAAGGCAACACAGAGAAACCCTGTCTTGGAAAAAACTGAACAAACAAAAACAAACCCATAGATTTAAATTACTGTTTCTGAAGCTAGAGAAGTAGGTCGGTGGTCAAGAGTGCTTTGCTGAGAAGCAGACACCCACAGATAAGCACTAGCCAAACTCCTGAAACCCAGTTGCAGAGAGGGAACAGTGATGAGCAAAGGGGTCAAGACCAGGCTAGAGAGACACACACAGAGACAGCTGACCTGACATGGGGGAGCTCATGGACTCCAGTCTGACAGCTGGGAAACCAGTATAGGACCCACCCAGACTCCCTGAATGTGGATGTTAGTCAGGAGGACTGGGCAGTCTGTGGGGCCTCTGGTAGTGATCAGTATTTATCCCTATTATATGAATGGACTTTGGAAGCCCATTCCACATAGAGGGATACTCCCTTAGCCTGGGCCCTGCTCCAAATGTGACAGATTTTGAAGATGCCCCATGGAAGGCCTCACCCTTCCTGGGGAGGAGAAAGGGGATGGGATGGGAGTTAGGGGAGGGGGGATGGGAGGGTGTGGGACATGGATTGATATGTAAAACAAGCTTGTTTCAAATTTAAATTTTTAAAAAAATATCAACAACAAAAGACTGGATAAACAGGGAATCAGGATAAAACCTGTACTTTGGGTAACCTTGGATAAAACCTAATATTGATTTCACACTTGCCCTGTAAACTCATTATGAAACTATGCACTGTTAAATACCGAGTGCTTGCTGCTCCCCTTATACGACCTGAGCTTGGATTCCAGCACCCATATGGCAGCTCCAGTCTTCTAAGCCCCGCAGCATGGGATCGGATGCCCTCCTCGGGACTCTGCAGGAACCTGCATGCTTGTGCTTACATACCTACACACAGACGTATGCACGTGCGCACATAATGATAATACAAACTTTACTCTTTCCAAGACACAGTTCAAGGACAATGTTATGTGTATTTATTGTGTCACTGTAGAAGAGAAATCGAATGCCACAAACAACAAAGCTTGTATTGGTTTTGTTTTTATTTGTTTTTATTTACTTATTTTAAATTTACATCTGTGTGTGTTGTGAGGAAGGATAGTGCCATGGCACACATCTGGAGGTTAGAAGACAACTTGTCAGAGTTGGTTCTTTCCTTTTCTATTGTGACTTTCAGGGATCAAGCTCAGATCCTCAGCAAAGTATCATTAATTTAATTACACAGACAAAAAGTAGCATTTTGGCTGAACTCCGTAATTGTCCCCACTTACAAAAATAAAGATGAAACAATTTTTGGGAGAAATCTAGTAGTTCCACGCTGCCCGGAAATCTAGATTTAGCTCACTTAAGAGTGATTCAACTCCATGAACGGGTAGAGCCATATTTACAAATAAACATGGACACCTGTTTGCTGTTTGTTTTCCTCTTTCAATTGTTCAGTTTCAACCTTCCTGATGCCTGCTTGCTTGTCAACATGTCTGAAAGATTTAAAGTGGTGACGTCACCGCTCTTAGTGGTGATGTGACATAGGTTGGGCAATGGAAGCCCCAGTGGTCCAGCAGTGACTCATCACCGATACACATGGCTTTACCAGCTTTACACAGAGTTTACCAGCAAGGCAGAAGGGCTGTTTTCAACAGTCCAATATGTCACTGTAGCTCATTCCTAAGAAAGCAGCAAAGCTGAACACAGCTACTGTGATGCAAGTTTCTCCTGACCGATCATTCCTCCAGCCTTCAGAAACCATTCAGTTTCAAAGTCATACAGACTTAGCAATAACTGTCAGCTACAGAGGTAAAATGGCTGCAGGTGTATTGGTTATTCCCTGTCCTGGAAATGGGTACGTGTACACTTTCTGAGCTTTGACTTGCAATCTACAAAAAATGTCAATGTTCTCGTCTGTTCCATTTGGATGATCTCTTGAAGCTCACCATCCTAGTTCTCTAAAGGAACAAAACTAATACAATGGATATTATAAATATATTAGTGTGTATGTGTGTTCTCCATATATATATAAAATCTCCTTATATATACATATGGGGATAGATTTATTAGATTGACTTACAGAGTGTATTATCAGTAGTTTAAGAATGACTGCCTTGCACTGAAGAGACTGAGAATCTGTCTCAGTCTACAGTCTCAATCTGACATTAGAGTCCTAAGAGACTCCAGGAGAGCTACTGACCTTCAGTCTATGTGGAAATCCTGAAGAAGTTGCTTCTAATACTAGCAAAGGAATATCGTAACAACAGGGTAGATCAACTTGCCAGCAAGAGTGAAAGCAAGTAGGCAAAAAGCAAACTTTTCTTCTCCCATGTCCTGATGCCACCCTGATTTAGGGTGGGTCGTCATGCTTCATGTGATGTGAAACAGAAAATCCATCCCAGGACTACCCAGCAGCTTTAGTAGATCCCAGGTGTGGTTAACAACCATTAGCCATCATACTCACTGTTTTCTTCCTGACATCATTTGAGAAACACCCGTACCAAATAAGACTGGGATGAAATATCTAAAGGCATATTCAAGCAAGCACGAAAGCCTTGTGTTACCTGTATAAAGAGTAAAGATTATCTACACTGGTCAACATAAAGCAGCACATGAAGGGTATAGGCCGTACGCGGGGCAGCAATACTTTCCATTATACACACAGCAGATCAAATCCTTCTGTTTCTCCTTTGCAGGATGAAAACATAATGCGCTCCATGCAGCTCTTTGAAAATGTGATCTAGTGTGCCAGCACATTCTCCGCTGAAGAAGCCAGTGTGAACGACCCTGCACACTTACAGGCTGGGGACACCATTTCTAGCATAGATTGCTCAGCTTTACACTGAGGCACATTATGCAAACTGCTTTGTGTTAATATAAAATAATCCCCCACACACACACAAATATTTAAGTTTTCCAGTTACACATCTGCATCTTCTCCACAATATCACTGGGGTTGTGAAATGTGTTAACTCGTTTCATACTCTAAGAAAAGGCACCGAATCTGGAATAGTGTTGCTCCTTAGCCACAGATTACTGAGGCTTTCACAGATCAGCGATTTTAAAACCCAAGTGGGTTTTCCCAACTTGTTTGTTATGTTTTTAGTCCTGGAATTTAAATGGTTTTCTAAAATATTTAAGTATGCATTTAATTTCCAGAAAGCCAACAAACTTCCATTTAATTTGAATCATCCAACATTGAAAAATAAACAAAGATTATTGCAATGAAAATAAAGACCAAAAACAGTTCCCAATTTCTATGGTTTCTCCACCTGCTGTTAAAGACATTAATGTATTAGGCATTTTTTTAAGAACATCTAAAAAATTAGTTTATTATCAGATGTTAACATATACCTAATAAAAATTATTTTAGTATTTGTTAATTTTCCATATTAAAGCCAAGGCTCTATATAATCCATGTAACTTTGGACCTGTTCGATCTTACATGTAGACTGTTTTGTATTGTGTCATGAAGTAGAAATTAAACAAACCAAGGATGTTTACAGACTTGCAATGGTTCTGAATATCTGTCCTCCAGCACCTAGTGATGCTTATTAGCAAGTAAGCCTAACAGCAGTAAAGGGCAATTCTAGCCACCATCAAAACCCCTAATGTTCTCATAGCATGTTTAGTATAAGCCATTCAGGGACAGAGAATCCTTGCCTGCCCCAAAGCCACCAGGAGTGAAGATAAAACAAAATAATCTTTGAAAACACCAGTGATTCTGTCATATTGGAAATAATGCATAAGACTGTATAGAAAATGAATACAAATATTGAACAGTTCATCTAAATTGCATTATGATTTAGCTCATTGTAGAACTTAAAATGATTCAGATTCATTTCAGTGATCTTAAGCCAAAACTGTAGAGTTGCCACAACAGTACTATAGGTGTACACATCTTCCCTGTTTCGTAGAAATATCACAAGTACCAAGAGGATACAGGAGGAGAAAACTTGCGACTGTCTGCAACAATAAATCAGGTATCTATTCTGGTGTAGAGATAGGATGTTGAAAGCTGCCCTGCTATCACCAGTGTAGGAATTAAGAGTAGTACAGTACATGTACACTGAAATCTGCCATCACGTGTTTGTGTAAACTCAATGTGCACATTTTGTATCTCAAAAGGAAAAATAAAAGCAAAATAAAGTGTTTATTACTCTACTGTGTCTGCTATAGTCTTTATGTTCTAGCAAGTTTTATAATCAATTACTAGGTTCTAACTACACTGTCACTATCTTTGGGTAGTGCCGCCTGCAGAGAAAACTCGAAGCAAGCCTGGGGTCAGGCAGTTGCTGTAGCAGGCATGGTCTGAGAATGTGACAAGGTACTACAGATCTGAGGAAAGAGAGGGCTCAGGACCAGGAAGTAAAAGCCCTCGTGGAGGATGGGCAGGTCACTCAGCAACTGCTTGTATTCTTTCAACTGACAGATGTACAACTATCTGAAGCAAGGATCGCCCAGTGGCCAACCAGCTGTCTGTGGGAGACAATGGGAGGAGGCCATCATCTACCCAGTGTCTAGAAGGCATGTGACTACTGCTACGAAACACAGTGACTGCCTGTCCCCATGCTTTCCAATGTGTCGTTATGATTTGGACTTGGTGTGACTACCCAAGTCCCTCCAGCCACCCTTCCTAGCAGACACACTGAAAGTCTTCCATTTTTCCATTGCTCTTCCTCTACTCCTTCTTCTTGCAGAATCATCTAGAAGTTTCTAGCTCATCAGAAACAATTACATAGTTAAAACTATGTTAAAAAGAAAAAAAAAAAAAAAACAAGTAACTGAAACACAACTAAGTACTACAATATCACTGAATACATTGAAGTTTTAGGATTTTAATTTCTGAATATCATGTATGTACATCATTGGTATTTTCAGGCTCTGAAATGTAAAAATAACAATTACATAAAGTTTAGGTAGTTTCAACAACTTGTAGTAAACAATATACCTGCAGTAGAATTTTCACATTTAGAACAAGTTTTTTAAACTAGAATATTCGGGAAGGAAAAGAGGTGCCCAAGCATTCCACATTATAAAATACACTTTTGCACAACCCAGCTAAAAGTGAAGTCACAAATGTTTACTTGCTATCTTAAATTTTTTCAGCCTTGATAAATAAAAAAAAAAAAAAAAAAAACAAGAAATGTCCAAAAACAACCTATAAGTGCACAGCTATAAAGTGATGTTCGGAATAGCTGTAAGTAAAAATACATTGGAAAATATGCTCATAGATATGACCCATAAATTCACACAGATTCATAGAGATGAGAAACCCTCACAGAAGTCAACTTTTCACCAGAGTACTTTAATTGCTTTCCATTAGCACCTGTGCTTTTTGTTGACAAACAGCTTGCACAAGGAGTCCTCTGGACGGGACAGGGTCCTCCAGCCTGGTTAATGAATCAGAGTGAAATGAACTCAGGAGAAGCCCGCTGCAGCCACCGTCAGGGCCTGGCTTTTGGTAGCTCCCTTACTCAAGAGAAGATAGAGCAGTATGTTGGGATTTTGGATTTGATGACAATAAGACTTCCCTGACAACAGAAGAAAACACTGTCATTAGAACACAGTTACCCCAGTAGGCATTACAGTTACAAGAGTTGCTTAAGAAGTACCTAAAACTTAAACAAAAGTAAAAGGACCCAACCAGAATTACAGGATGAACAGAACATTTTTCTGAGGGAACTAAAACAGATAGCAGTCTTTAAGTATCTACGAAGAGGCAAAGAGTAAGGGCAGTGTTTAAATGTACCCACTAAACTAGCACACCAGTGTAAATTACTTCTCTGCACCCAATATCCTGACTTAAAGGTCAATACCAGCAAGTTTACATTGGGGCGCATCCTGGTGAACAAATGAGTATAGTCCTCATGGGGACTCAGCAGAGGACTTATCACAGTCCTCTCATACTCTGGAAGAAATATGTCTTTCCTGAGACAGATGAGCACACTACTGAGGACAAAAACTTAATCATACATCTGGAAATATGTTTCATCTCAAGATTGGCAAATATGAGTTATAAGAAAGTGTCTCTGTGCTTAACAAATGTTTCCATTTTCCCAGTAGTTGAGCCTTCACAATATTATAACCTATAAAAGTAAAAGAAACAGGACTACACTACACTAAGAATTCTTGGATTTTTAATGTTTTTAGAATTTAATTATCTTTACTTAATGTGTATGGATGATTTGCCTGAATATATGACCATGTACTACATGTGTGGAGTGTCCAAAGAGTCCAGAAGTGAGCTTTGCATCTTTTGTAGTTGTGAGCCACCATGTGCATGCTGGGAATGGCCCCTGGGTACCTGGGAAGAACAGGCAGTATTCTTAACCAATGAGTCATCTCACCAGCACCAAGAACTTTTTTTTAAAGACTCATAACTACTGAAGAAACTTAATATATGTTTCTAAGTTCTTAATAAAGAAAGACAACATTCTTTATGTTCTTGAAGTACAGCAAAATGGCTCCAATAAGCAGAACACTAACCAAGGCAGAAGAAAGGCATGGGTGTTAATTCTAATACACAGTGTCTTCAAAAAATTTTTTTAAATGTATACATTTTATGTGTATGAGTGCTTTGTCTTCATGAAGACCTCTGTACACACGCATGCCGGTGCCTGAGGAGGCCATCAAGAGAATGTCTTGTCACCTTGGAGCTGGAGGGACAGGTGGATGTCAATAACCATGAGGGTATTGGGAAATGAACACAGGTTCTCTGAGAAAGCAACAAGGGCTCTTAACTACTAAGCCATCTCTCTAGACCCTAGACCCTTTTGCCATGACAGAAATTGTTACTAAAATATAATGTAGGACACACAAGGAATAGGAAAATGACTGAGAAGATTTAAGATCTCTTGTAACCACAAACCCCTTTTTCTTTTTAAATTCATAGCAATATCTAAAGCTAATAAGACTGAGTAATACCAAAAGGAACCCTCTCTCTAGGACCTTGGATTGACCGACTACAGGCTCTGCAGGCAAGTTCTAAGTAACAATGCTGGGCTTCTGAAATACATCTCTGTGGTAACTTCCCCAATCCGGTACACACAGACATCCACAAATGTCAGATGACAGTCTTTTCCATTTTGTTTGGCCCATTCCCTAAAAAGATCTCCTGGAGGCAGACAACCACTGGGGAGAGTTACAGCTTAAAATTCACCATCTGTTAATTTGCATTCCACAAGAGAGGAATGGGCAATACATCGGGGATTCAGATTCTGAGATGATCAAGTACATTTACAGTATGTACTTCCTCAAAAATGGAGACATTGGTCTCACTAGGGGCTAGTTCTGCACATGTCCTCAGTGTCTGAACACCAATTTCCTACTCAACTCAAGCACAACAAAGAAATGCATTTCCTAACAGCCCTTTTCAGACTTAGTTCCTCTGGATAAACTTTAAGTGTTCATCACAAATATAATATATATATATATATATATATATACACACACACACATATATATATATATAATTAAAGATTATTAAAATTAGCAGAATTAGCTGATTAAGGCATGGCCAGCAAAACATTGTATACAGCCATATACATTTTTTTCTGATTAATTATTCATAAAATCTGGACAATGAAATCTCAACACTGTTAGGCTAACTAGCTGAATACTTCTTCCATTATGAAAATGAGTTACTTTTACTGACATGTAGCAGTGAAGCCTCCACATTCCTCCCCTTGAAAAGTCAGGGGGAAACTTGAATCAACTTTTGAAGAAAGGGTATGTGCTTTGCTATTGTGGAAGTGGCATTTCCATGCACAGGGAGATTCTAAAGGTCAGAGGAAGAAAACAAGGCAGAAAGGGAAACTGGAGAACCTATGCAGAGGTCAGGAAGCTCCTGAGCTCACACACGGACCTGCAATTCATCCCTAATACAGCCAAGCACAGAAGTAAATAAACACACAATGATTTCAAAGCATTTTGGGGGATTAGGCTAAGTCATCCTTTGACCTTCTCACAGGTCAAAACAAACATGTAAAGTCGATCAAAGAGAAAAACGAAGACTTCACTTCCAAGACCTCCCCAGAAGTACACAGGCCTTTATTTACCCAGCCTGCTTCTGCAGAAGCCAGCTTGAAAACTAAACCACCCCAAAGCAGAACTTCTTAGTCTGGAAGATGAAAATCCAGACATTTTCACAGCTGTCCTTGCAGCCGTAATGGTGTAACGTGCTAACCACATACTGATTCTCTGAATAGGACTGCAAGTGCAATGTACAGAAACAACGCGTGGTTACAGGAGCAGCATCTACTCACACTCCCGCCGTGCTGCTCCAGCTTTTGCAAGGCACTGGTGATGGGTTCTTTGAATTTTTTGTCCATTAGCCTCTTGGAAAGCTATTAAACATTGGGGAAAGGAGGATTCCAAAATAAATAAAAGTTTGCCATAACCTTTAACAAATAACCTTTGAGGATGTCTTAATTTAAGAACACAAAAGTTTGTTTCAGTAAACATTTTACTAAAATTTACTCTTAGCAATATAACAATTAAGAGATGAATTTATGACATTTCAAGCACTGCCGGTCCTGCAATATCGGCTATGAAAATACATTTCTGGGTCTGGGGAAATGAGTGACTTCAATTCCCAAACCCACATAGCAAGTGGGGCATGATGGCCGATGTTTAAATCCCAGCACTGGGGAGGCAGAGAACAAGAGGGTCCCTGGGATTCACTGCCTGGACAATTCGGCCTAAGCGGTGAGCTCCAGGTAAATGGAAGACCCACCTTAAAGGAGGTGGACAATATTTCTGAAGACAACGCCTGAGGTGGTTCTCCACATTCCACATGTACACATATAAACACACATAGAGATCCACATGCTTTCGTATCCACACACAACCACACATGAACACAATGTAAGTTTTCAAAAGCATGGCATACTTTACGTGCAAGACCATGCAGAGATCTATGACACCTCCATCTAAAGCACATGTTACCCAATGAGGGAGAAATCAGACGAGAAACACCACCACTTATTTTCTGGATACATCCTAAACAGACCCTAGCTGGAAGCACAGAATGTTGTTTAAAAAGGAGAGCGTACGTAAAGGAAGACAGAACAGTAGGCACTAGCAGATGGGCAGTGCTATGAGGGCCATTGTACCAGTATTCCTACAAACTGCATGCATTTTCGCAGACAACGACCAGGATGTCTCAGCTAAAACAAGCTATGCTCTCAGGTCAACATTTTGGAAACATAGTCAACATAGGTTGAATAGGATGATACTGAGCACTTTTTATTAGAAACCTAAAGTCAGCTTTTAAGATTAGAAAATACTAGAGCGATATTAGAGACTATTTCTAATTTCCATTAGAAAATTTTTAGAGAAACTGTCTACTACTAAGTTATTCTGTAACCTACTTAGTTGGGGTAAAAATTAACACTGGCTGTCAAAGTGACTGGACAGGGGAATGCTCAGGTAAACAGAACAAGTCTTTGGTTTGTCTTCAGGGGAAAGTTTTCCAGATAAAGTTCATGAGGCTTTCCCCAGGGAGTGGACTTATCCTGGCTGGGATCTTCCTGTGATAGTGTGATTGACAGGAGGGAGGGAATGGAAGGTGGGGCTCAGCTGAAGAGAAAGACTGAGACCCTGAGCCCTTCCTACATGGCCACCCCTGTTTTATGCCCGCTATGACCTCACATGTTCCATGCCACATGGAGGACTGGCACATGTCCGTCCTGCCATGGAGGACTGACACATGTCAAACTTGGAGCACAGACAAACCTTTCCTAAGGTCGGGTTGTTTCTGTTATTGCAATGACAAGTAAATGTCTCTTTAAGGATGTGAGCTAGGGCTAGCGGTTGATTTGAAGACTGAAGTTATGAGGACGTATGCACAGCTACTCGCCACTCCCCAGTACTCACACTTGTAAGCAGAAGTTTCAGATGGCCATTCAGAGATGGGCCAACGACCACACTTAGCTGTACGAGTGCACTCAGTCCTCTTTCAAACACCTCGTCATCGGAATGGACCTGTGGGCCAGGTAACAGCAAGAATTAAAAACAATACAACCCTCTTGAGAGATGCTGGGTTCTTTCATTTTTGAACTTTTCAGTGGCCCTTTGTGTATAATTCTACTTTCCACTTTCAGAACAGATTTTCTAATAGAATTGGTGCAGTTACATCTGAATGAGACTTGTTCATTGGTGGGGAATGGGGGGATGGGGCAGTAGGATTAAGCACTTAAACCGAGAAATCAATCAGCAAATACAATTGGTGGAGTAAACTTTAATGTGCTGTATCTAAAGGTAAATCAACTTCCATCAGACAAGAGCAGTTGCTCAGATTCACCTAGCGCATGCAGACTGCAAGGTGCAGACTGGAGGTTTTCCTCCTAATTACTCAAAAGGTTTGCTTTTTTATCCCGGGAAGCTGAGACATCCTCCAACGTGGTCAAGTGCATAACTGCATGACTCTGAGCGACAGTGGGTTGACACTGCACTTCAAACCCACCGGTAAATCAATAATTTGCATGGAATACAGGGGAGGGGAGGAGCAAACAGTGTTCTCTCGGATCAGAGTATTCATCTGTATCATGTTGACTGGGAATAATGAAGTCCAGTGAAACAAATGATCTTACCAGAGCTGCCTTCAGCACAGGGATGAGTCTGGGTAGCAATGGTACAGCTTTTTCAGGAGCATCCTGGACCAGAAGTAATTCCCTAAAGCCCTCCTTGGACACAAAGGTATAAGGATGCTTTGTCTCCCTCAGGCCCTGCCAAAGACAATGTAGACATAGGAACATGACTCATTTGCTACCTTTTGATTATATTAGAAGTCACAGAACACAAAGCTCCTAACATAAGTGAAAACAGAGTTTGCTTAATGTCTTTCTAATCACAATGAGTAATTTCAGTGATTGTTTTTTGAATTATACCAAGAGATCATGTAACAAAAGACATACAGAGCTCTACCCTCACATAGAATGAGAAAAGAAAGACGAGAAAAGCAAAATCAACAGAGTAACAAATAGGGAAGAAAATCCTAAAGGGATTAAAAAAATAAAAATAACTGATAAGTTGGGGGAGGGGAGAGCTAGTGAGAGATGATAAGGAAGTCATCAAACACTGAGACCACTGCTTCCTGAGGACCCTGGAGGACAGCAAGGGGCACACTGTGTGCCCCACACTGGACCCTCAATGTCCTCAGTGAGTTCCTACAAGGGCTGGCCTTCACAGTTAAATGCATTCCGGCACTGGAAGGGAGACCCTGCTCTGCTGGGACAGGTCGGAACTTAAATCTGCTGTCCACAGTGGGGCACAATTTGAAAACACAATCTGTGTTCAGCCTTGCTCACAGTAGGTGTTTTTCCTCCCAGATGCCCTAGAAAGCAATGGTCTGTGCCCACCATTTACCAGCTCCTACTAGAGGTGGGAAAATGACCATCTGACTTTAAGAGAATAGCGATGGCAATACCTCTGCATCTATCTGTGGAGCAGGCTTAAATAACCAGCTGCAAAATCGTGTCACAAAGTCAGTTTCCAACATTGTCAATTTGACCTGGATACCCACTTTCAAACAGTGGTCACATGTCCCCTTCCCACTGTCCTGCCATATTTTCTACAAAATCACCAACGTGGCAAATCATTCTCTAACATGTTCCGTACCTGTCCTAACAATTCCTGGATCTTACTCATTTTCAAAATGGAGACTAGAAAGTCATGGATCTCAACAGTGGTCATCTAAACTCCTTGCCCATTACTAAGGGAGTAGAAGAAAACAGGAAACTTATCCAGTCAATGCTCCTGCACACCTTTAATCCCAGTACTTGGGAAGCAGAGGCAAGTGGATCTCTGCGCTTTTGAGGCCAGCCTGGTCAACAGAGCTACACAGAAAAACCCTGTGTCAGAAAAAAAAAAAGGAAAGGAAAGAAAAAGGGGGGGAGGGAGGAAGGGAAGAGAGAGAGAGAGAGAGAGAGAGAGAGAGAGAGAGAGAGAGAGAGAGGAAGGAAGAAAGGAAGGAAGGAAGGAAGGAAGGAAGGAAGGAAGGAAGGAAAAAAGAAAGAGCTGCCCAGTACAGAAATACATGTACTGGTATTGGACCACAGGTATACAAACAAGACTGATCCTGGCCACTGAGATAGCTTGGCAGGTAAAGGCATTTTCAGCTAAGCCTGATACCCAAGTTCAAACCCTGATTCCATATGGTGAAAGGAGAGAACCAACTCCAAAACGTTGTCCTCTGACTCTTACCCACTCCATGGCACAACCACACACACACACACACACACACACACACACACACACACACACACTCATGCGACAAAGATTTTAGAAGGACTGATATTAATGAGCTGTAAAGGCAGAAGCCCTTTAATGACTTCACAAATCCAAGTACTTTGTGTTCCCTAATCATTCAGACTATGCAATGTATCACTAGCTTTGATTAGTCTATACGAAAGACTGTGTTTAAAAGAGAACTAAGTACCATCCATTTCATTTAGCCATAAATCCCTGTTACAACTAGCCAAGCCATTTATTTTATATAAATATACATCTGTGTATGTGTGTGTGCCTGTGTGAATAAAGTCTTTCTCTCTCCTCTCTCTCTCTCTCTCTCTCTCTCTCTCTCTCACACACACACACACACACAAAACAATATATCACAATTACTTGCTTAGTGTTCTTTATTTTAGAGACTCTTGTTTGATGTTTATTTTAAAAATATAGAATGACATGTACTTATAAGCTACAAAAGAACAGCAAAATTTTAAAAATTTTTTTTCTATTAGCACTCAGGAGAGCTAGAATGTTTTACCTCAGCTAAAGTAATTAGAAGAGGGTCAAATGGAAGAATTTCAGGCGGGCATTCCCACTGTAATCTGTGTTTTACTGAGCCATGTACCAATCTAAAATACAAAAGTCAGAAACTGTAACAGAAACCCCACAAGCATTTATAGGCAGGGAACTTATAACACAGTAATATTCTTGCCAAAACAGAGTCCCACTAGAATTATTCTATGATATATAGGAGTACCAAACTCATTAGGACATGGAGAAAGTAAAGCAAGTAATCAATACTTCATATTCTCACATTATTCACAAATTTAGTGAGTTTGTATCATAAAACTTTTTATTTATATTTCTGCATGTCACTCAGAAACTTGATACACATGTTGCACTGATCTCTGTCAAACAGTTATGAAATAGTAACCTACAGAAAACGAAGATATGTAGTAATTAGAAAAGGTAACGTTTACAGAGACATTTTCATAGCCTAAAACTAATAATCTGAAGGCAAATCTGTTTCACTCCTTGTGAAAGAGAGAAAAAAAAATAAATAAAATTTAAAAAGCCCTAAGGCCAGGAAGATGAAGTGGTCCCCTTGAGGTTACAGGCAGTGCTGAGTTACGTCTTCTCACTATTCCCCAGAGCCATTCCTGAACCACAACTGATGGGTTTACAAAGCAGCAGTATAGCCATGACGGAATCACTGGGTCATTCCCAAACTTCTTGGTTTCACTCAGCTCTCTGGTCTGACTTCTTCACTGTTACAGTCACAACAAGAGGCCTCACTCAGAAAGGTATCCGTTTTTCTGTTTTCAGCAAATCTCACTTACTCTGGGGAAAAGCAGTCAAGAAACTCAAGAAGTAAATAAAACAAGGCTTCAGGGTCAGTGTGTGAGAGGCAGCATCTTGTGTAGACCAGGCTGACCTCACATCCACTATGCGGCCAAGGGTGACCTTCATCCTGCTTCCCCATCCCGGTGCTGGGGCTACCAGCAAAGGGGACCGAGCTTATGGAGTGTTGAGGGATGGAGCTCAGGGCCTTACAAATGGTAGGAGGCACTCTATCAACTGAGCTGCATGCCTAACCCTTCAAATTAGAATGTAAGGATGAAACAGTAACAAATGCAAGAATGCTTCTTTAGCTTATTTTCCCTCCAAATTTGAAGATACTATTAAAAAGTGCATTGTTGAAATTTCAGAAGCAAACATAAAAATCGATGTTGTAATTGTCCCTTCTATATTTAAAAAAAAAAATCTACCATGAAGAACAGAATGAAACAGAACATTATATGAAAAAAGGCATCAGGAATTTATTCAAAATGGAGCAAAAATTGTCATATATACTTACTAAGAAATCATATTTCACTGCACTGCCCATGTTTATATTACAAACAAGGCAGAATTTCTTATTTGCAGCTTGCCTGTGAATGCTTCAATTAGTTGTATCCAAAATGGCACACTCAGTTGAATTTAATTTCTGAAATTGTTTGGTGTCTTACTCCAGATCTTAGTAATTACATATTGGAGTTGAGGTGTTTTTATGTCAACCAGGTCCAGGGATCGATACCAATACAAGAGTCAAGGTAGTCCGTCACCCTGATTTAAATTTAACAAATTTAAAGTGAAGAATATATTGATTTCATTCGGTTATTTTGAACCACACCGTCAGCTATGCACTGTATTGACTGTACCTGCAAGGGATGCCACCCCTAGCGTAGATAGCTGTAAATGCAGAAGGGGCTCGTGACTGCTCACCGAACTGAAATCGAAAAACAAACACATCACCGCTAACTCCATTTACTGACACCTTCAATTTTAATCCTGTTGCGACCAGAGGCAAAAACAAAGCAAAACAAAAAACAAAAAAAAACCTTTCAAACCCCCCCACTGTATTACTCTGTGAAACTGTTGTTTAGCCACATGACTGGAAAAAACAAAAGTGAAGGATTGACAGCAACAAAACAAAACAAACAAAAATAACAAACAACACACAGACACAACCAAGATGCAGAGTTATTTTCCTTCAACCTCGAATTTGGCTCAAAGCTTTGCAGGTGGCTGGAACCGTACACAGAGCAAAATGTCTTTCCACTTTGTCAGTCTGAATCCTCAAGGTGAGGGCTGAATAATGAATTCAGGAATTATGTATGGGGGGGGGGGGGTAGAGATTTGCTACCCGTTACTGTATACCTGTGCCCATGTCCATCGGCCAAGCACAGATGTATAGAAACCAGAGAATCTGTTTAATATCTTCAAACTGGCTTTAGGCTTTTATGCAACAAGGGACTAGGCTTGGTAGAGTCAAAAGTCAGAAAAAGCTTGTACCAACATGTATTTGAATGCATCTTCTAGGTTATAGAACTGGTGCTAAGGACAGAAGGCATATACTTCCTTTTAGCTGGCACAGTATATCCAGCACGCCTGTCAGCCAAGTATAGACATGCAGAGGTCAAAGAACCTGTGTAACTTCTCCAAACGGGCTTCATGCCTCTACTACATTATGATTTCTAAAGGATTGAACTTGTACAACAGAAAGAACAGTGAAGAGTTTTGTGTGGATATTGAAGCATATGACTAGTCAATCCCATAGCCATGGCAAGCTAGCTCACTGAAATTTGCAAACAGGAGAGAAAATTAAAAAGCTGACATACAACTGAGAACATAACAAAATTCACACAACCAGCTCAAAGCTAGCAAAAAGACAATCCATGTGAGCGTTCAGAATAAACTGTCTATTTAGAGCATTCAGAATTGTTAATTCAGTTAAAGTGTAATCACATACATGCCTATTCCTCGAGAAACCATACTGCCAGAGTACTCACAGGGTTAATGGTTTTCGGGTTGAGTTTATCACTTGGCCGAGGATGAACCCGTCTTGCAGCCTCTGGAGAACTGGTTAATGAGGAGGATTTGCTCCGCTGAACTGTAGTCCTGTGTTTTATTTGTGCACTTGAGGATGTCCTTTGATCATAATTACCTGGGGGGTGGGGGGAATAGGGGGAAGGATCGGATCAGGACAAAAGACAAATGTGCAAAAGAAACTCTCCTGAATCCACACAGAACAAGGAATGTATCATTAACAAACCGACCTCTCCCTTTGAAAAAGCAAAGCTCTGACCTGTTGTTCTGACTCTCAACTGCACGCCTCCAGGGTACTCCGATTTCTGCATCGCCTCCCTGTCAGCCCTGCAGTTAAATGAAACCATTTCAGAATCTGTTCATCTGCCTTAAACACAAGACCAAAATGAAGAGTTATATATAGATATGAGTGTGGAAGTCCAAGATTGCCATTTTTTTTTCCCAATAGCTCTCCACCTTGTATCTTGAGGCAGGGTCTTTCACTGAGACCAGAGCTCCCCTTATTGGCTAATGTCGCTACTGAGCTTGTGCCAGAGACTTCCCTTTTGTGTCTCAGAAGTGCTGAGATGACAGACAGGCTACCACAAGCACCTAAGTTCTCAGAGGATTCTGGGTGATCAGATTCCTTACCAGCTAAGCCACCTTCTCTGCACTATTTTCTAATTAAAATGAATTTAAAAGCCAAGGAATCCCTTCATTTGAAAAACTTTTAAGTTCTAGAAAATAGAGCTTCCAAGGTGTTTCATTATTCAATGTAGTTTGGGTCATGTGTGTGTGTACACGGATGCCTGTTAATTTGTGAAAGTAGGTGAGTCCATGGAGGCCAGAGGTTGACATTGGGTATCTCCTACTATTACTCTCCAACATTCTGTGAACCAGGCTCCCTCGATGAATCTGGAGCTGATAGAGTAAACTAGGCTGGATCTTTTTGAAAGCATAGCTGTTTGTTTGATTTTTAGACAGGGTCTCATTATATAGTCCAGGGTGGCCTGGAGCATGCTATGTAGACCAGGTTGGTCTTGATCTTAAGAGACCTGCCTGCCTATGTTTCTTGCAAAAATAATGATTTTAAAGTTTTTTTTTTTAATTTATTCTTCTCTCACACAATACACCCCAACTGTGGCCCTCTCCCTCCCCTCCTTCCAGTTGCCCACTACCTCCGACCTCCAGATCTACTGCTCCTCTGTTTCCCTTCAGAAAAGAGCAGGCCTCCCAGGGATACCTACCATAACAAGATGCAATAAGACTAGGCACAAACTCTCATATCAGGGCTTCAAGAGGCAACCCAGTAAGAAGAAACGGGTCCCAAGAGCAGGCAAGAGTCAGAGACACCACCACACCCACCCACTCTTCGGAGTCCCACAAAAACCTAAAGCTTAACAACCACAACTAATATTCCTAGAACCACTCAGGCTCTGTGGTTGCAACTTCAGCCTTAGTGAGCCCTTAGGAGCCCTGCCTAGTTCATTCTGCGGACCATGTTCTCCTGATGTCCCCACCCATCCTGCTCATACAATCCTTTCTCCCTGCCTTTGTTGGATTCCCAGAGCTCCACCTAATGTTTGGTCATGGGTCTCTGCATCTACTCCCATCAGCTGCTGGAGGAAGCCTTAGTGATGAGGGCAGAGCTAGGCACAGATGGCTCAGTGGTTATTTTTAAAATAACTATTTTTTAATTGTTAAAGGTATCCGTCTTTATTTAAAAGACAAAGTAAATATGCTTGGTTTAAAAAAAAAATCCACCAGGAAGAACTTGTCTATGAAAGGAAAATGCTCCCTTCATCTTTAGACGACTTCTACTTTAAATGACTTTAGGCAGGTGGTGTAACGGAGTAGTGACTGGAAGAAATGAGGAGGTGAAACACACTGTTTTAAGGACTCTCCAGGTAACCCCTCCTCTCTTAGAATTCTGAGTAGACATCAGAACACGGAGATCCACTAAATATGAAATGCTAAATTATGTCACAATGTCAGAAGGAAAAACAACAAACACGACACAAATGGCCCTAGGTTTCATTGGGCCTCTGCCTGAAGTGGCACCTGTATATGGTAGGAAACCACACCGTCTTTGTTGTACAAATACCAAATTTCGGTACCCACTGGAGTCAAATCGTCCGGCATCTTTCCTCTACTCTCTAATCAGAAACCCGGAAAGTTCCAAAAAGTTCGAAAGGCGCTCAGCTAAATCTGCATCCCCTTTGTCATCAGGAAGCAAAACCTGCTTTCCACCCTTCCAGCATCCCGTCACCGCATGCACCCACTTTCAATGGAACCTGAGTTCAATTCGGCTCCAGGGTGCTGTTGGGGGAAGGGGATTTGAAAATGGGGAGACTGCGTGGGCCAACTCCAGTTAGAACACTCTCTCAGCCCAGTTCCCAGAGCACATCTGGAGTCCCTAGCAACCAGCTCGGGCTGCTTAGCTACGGGACGCCAAACTGGGAGACCCCGCCCTGCCGCCCGCGCCTACCGCCGCTCCCGCCGCTCCCGCGCTCGCCGCCGCCCCAAATGGGGGGCTGAGTCCGCCCTGGGCGCCAAAAGCCAGCAGCTCCCGCCGAGGGCAGCCCGGATCCAGGAAAGCCGCTTCGGCCGGCATGCGCATCCGATCCGGCGCCGCGCAGTGACGTCACGCGCGCGACGCCCGCTCTAAGCCAATCATAGGGAGGCCATAGGAATCGGAGGAGGGGTTGCCTGGCAACGAGATTGCGTTCTAAGGGTGCCGGTCCAGGAAGAGCCGCGCTCACAAGTCTTCAGGAGGCAGAGGGGAGGCCCTGGCAGACCTTGAAGGAAGCTTAGGTTTTAGTTTCCAGGGAAGATCGCTGAGTCCTCCCTGCCCTCCGGCCCGTCCTCTCTCCGTCTGTGTGCTTCTCTCGTAGCTTCTCAGGGACGTTTGCTGTCATCCAACGCTTGTGCCATGAGTTTCCCTTAGCTTCTGTCAGGCTGTTTCATTCGACTGCAGAATACTGCCCTAAATGGAGAGCGACAAACATATTCCCTGTATTGTTTTGTTTTGTTTTGTTTTGTTTCCTTTAGGATTACACTCATGAAATTGGTGCTGGAGGAGACTGTGTTCGTTTGCAATTCCATATGAGTATGGAACTACATTGCTGTACGGGGAGAGACAGAAAGACAGACAGACAAACAGACACACAGAGAGAGAGAGAGAGAGAGAGAGAGAGAGAGAGAGAGAGAGAGAGAGAGAGAGAGAGAGAGAGAGAGAGAGAGAGAGAGAGAGAGAGAGAGAGGGAGGGAAGGAGGGAGGGAGGGAGGGAGGGAGGGAGGGAGGAGAGAGAGATATGACGGGGGAGACACATGACAGAGACAGAGAGAAAAGAAGACAAACACTGAGCCTACTGTGAGTTTTAGAAAATCTCAAATTCCAACACTGGTGGCACACTTTTTCCAACAAGGCCACACCCCTTAATCCTTGTAATCTTATCAGGGTTTTACTCCCAGGTGACTGACCTTTCAAATATACAGGAATGGGGTCATTCCTTCTTAAACCTAGGGGCCTATCTGTAGGCCTTTCCCATGTGAAAGTCACACCACCTACTTTTTGCACACACACACACACACACACACACACACACACACGTGGGGGGGCAGAGACTACCAGCAAAATGTTTAATCTCTGGGCACTTATAAACAATTTAGCTGTGATAGAGACCTCTTGCTGGTAGTGAATTAAGTCAACAGAGATAACTAAATAGAACCACAGTGTCCAATGGTCAAATAACCCAAGACACACGGGAACATCTACGTTTTCACAAAACCACATTCTGAAAGAGTTATAAGAAATATGTGAGATTAACTCCAAGGAGATACTTTATTATGACGTAAAGTTTTATATGGGAAGCAGGAGTATGGAGAAGATGATGGAATACAGAGGAAAATAAAACAAAACTAATGGTATTTGAAAGGGCCATAAGGAAACTTTGTCTTTGGTAAGCTAATAAAGACATAAAAAGTTTGAAAACAGGTACCTGGTATGGATGAACCAAGCCATTCCCAGAAGTCATAGATTATTAAACGAAATTATTTTATCTCACTAAGGGTTGTTGGACAGAGAGGACTTTGAGGCTACCAAACAATGAAAGCAATTGTCACTCTTGTTCACCAGCACTGGATGGCATGGCCTTATTGCTGAAGATACTGTGTCTTGGTCACAGGGCATAGAGAAACCAAGCCAAAACTTGGCTAGAGGCTTCCTGACTGTTGGCTTTTTCTAACAAAGCCAAAAATGTGTTGTGTGGCCTGTTTGGAGTGGGGTTGTGGAATATTATTTTAAGGTCTGTTACTTTTGTTTATGCTCTGAAACTTTTGTTTAATGATGCACAGATGTGTTTGATTAAATAAAATTCACCTGCAGGCAGGAGGCTGGGTCAGCTACAGTTAGGGAGGAGTCAGGTGGAGAAGGCTTTAAAAGAGGGGTAAGAAAAAACTTGAGGGTCTCTTGGGAGATTCCAGGAGTTGAGCTAGGTGAGTTAGGTGAGCTGCTTGCCATTCAGCCCCTCTGAGAAGCAGGATTCTACCTCAAACTTTAAATCTTGAGTTCTTTAGTGGAACAGGGATTTAAATGAGTTTCTTTAGTAGCATTGAGTTAGTGACTGAGCTTCTGCTGTGTGGGCTGGCCACTTACAGTAGCAGAGGAGTGGCAGTTTCTGAATAGGACAGCCATAGTTTAAAAGTCAACAGCAATTAAAAAAGAAAATTAACAGAGTGGCTGTGTGCATTGTGCTCAACGACCTCATTTAGCTGTAGATCTCCTTGTGAAACACTGCCAACCAGTCATACAAGAGGAGCCTGCCCAGCCGTAGGATTTTAATAGGGTCAAATGAGGGAAAGGGACCCTTCAGTGTGACAGAGGCTTCCTGGCCTTATGTGGGCTTCAACTCAGGTGTTAGGTGGCTGTTATATCATGGTCACACAAATGATTTGTACTGATTCGATGAACTACAATGTTTTATTTTTATGAATGAATTTGTAGACCGTAGGAGGGTGAGTTGTAGAAAGCTTTTTTTTTTTTTTTTCTTTAGGGTTGTTGTTGGGGGCTTAAGACACAGTGTAGGTGGGAATCTTCAAAAATGGGGTGTTTTAGAGTTCATAGTCTTGAGGATTTTTTATAAATCCTATGGTAGGTATGGTGAGGCATGGGGAGACAAGCTAGTCAGTGCAGGTGGCCCATCCATAAGGTAAACAGGCACTTCTCATTCTTGGTCATATTTTCATGAGTAACTTTTAGGCAGTGGAGCTTAATAAGATTGAAAACAAGAAAAGAAATATAGAAAAAAAAATCAGAGTGGGATCAAGAACCCAGTTCTTGTATTTCTGGCCTCTGGCCATAACAGAACCAAGAGTATTTCATGTTCTGGAAAATTCCTAAACTGTTCAGTTTCTATCTCCTGGTTTTCTCAGTGCAATAGTGGCAACTCTGATATTTGGATTTGATGTTTGGTCCACAAGAGAAAATTAGTGTCTGGTAGTGTAAAAACTTTTAAAATTCTATGGCTGGGTGCCTAAGGTAGGCTGCTGTTGTTGCTTCACTAAATGGGCACAATGTGCCTATCAAGTTGCATTATAAATAACTATATTTGTGTCTAAAGAATAATGCTACTGTTAGTTTGACTCAAAGAAATGTCTTTTCATTATAGTCAGTTGTTAATGTTTGCAGAATACATGGTTGTTGATTGCCCATCTATCGCGGTAAATAAGGATCAGGATAAACAAATAGGCTGAATAGATGTTTATTCAGGGAGAAATAACTTACAACCTAGACAGATGAACACCAGGAAATTCAACCCGATCCTCTCCTGTCCGAGTTACGCCAGAAAGATCACGCCAGAAAGAGAGCGCCATACTTGGCCCCCTCCGACCTCCTTCCACAGGTCACTTCCGCCCATGGCTCCACCCCCCAATAGGTGTGGTCACTGCTACAGAAGGACTATCTCACTACACCCATCAATAAAAATGACAAGTCTCAGGGAACAATTTAAGAAGAAATAATTTAAGGGCTACAAGAAAGGAAAAGTGACCTGGAGAATCATTATTAAATTCCTGACATAAAGGACTATAATTTTAAATTGTGAGTCAAATAAACACCTTCCCTGTATTTTGCTTTGATGGGGGATTTTATTTACAGCAACAGGAAAGGAAACTAAAACTCAGTGAATTTCAAGCACACAGTGCAGTGTTACTAACCAGAGTTGTCATAATTTAGCTCTCAATGTGTAAAATGCATGCTGCACAAGTGTGAGGATCCAGTGTCCAGATCATCAGAACCAGAGTAAAGTTAGATATTGTAGCACCCTTATTCATCACCAGTGTTTCTATGGCAAAGCAGTAGACATATATTGGAGAATCCCAAATGGAGAACCCCCAAGCAAGCTATCTTGATATAAACCGTGGTAAGCAAGAGACACCATCTCAAACAAAGTGAAAGTTGAGGTCCAGTACTTAAGGCTGTCTGATGCATAGGCATCATGACAGAACCAATAACATACATGTGAATATGCAAGCATGCATAAACATAAAAATAAAATCCATATAAAAGATAACAGACCCTTCGGTGGGAATTCCATGATATAGTCTTGTTCAAACAAACCCCACAGAAAGCACAGAATAATTTTGTTAACCCATCTTAAAACACACTGCATATTCAAAGCAACAACCAGAATATACAATGAACATTTTTGGATTAACTAGTTAATAATTTTCACTAGAATAAAAATAACTCACTGCTAACTTAACCAGACAGTTGGATCTCAAAGCTGCTTGAGCAGAAGGCAGTTTATGCTGTTCATGAAGCAAAATGAATGCTAATTGCTGGAACTGTGTTATGTTGGCTTTGCTGATCAGTGTAACAAATATACACACTTAAGGGGCAATAGAATGCACACTTAACCTTCAATTCTAGAGATCAACCCTGAGTCAGATAAAGCTACAGTAAAGGAGACTGTAAGGCTATGTTTCTTTCTAGGTGTTCCCACAAGGTTTACTCAAATAGCAAAAATTAAGTTTGGCATGATTGACACCATGAGGCTCCTCTTGTTTTATTAGCTTTAAGCTGGCATCTTTTGCCAAAGTGTAGAAAATATTTTACTCTTAGCTTGCTTCTAATGACTCGTGTGTTCTATTAATTTCAAATATTAGTCTTTTTTCCATAAAAAGTGCCAAAGTTTCCTAAGTGATAATGGGAAGATACTGATTTTGCTCACAGTCCAAGAGGCTGCACATATGAACAGCACGTTGGCCACTCTGTAAAGGACAGCTGTGGCTGTGTCATATTTTGAGGATGTACATCATGGCATCAGTGCACACAAAAGCAAGAGTTTCCATTGTGGCCAGCTAGCCCCATACTCTCCAGAGAGGAGAATAAACAGCTCAACATTCTGGAACATAATCAAGTAAAGTAGGAAACTGTAGCATGAATTCTAATTGGTATTAATAATAAAAACTCAGAGACAGATGTTGGGATTAAAGCTGAAGATCAGAGAAGCAAAGCAGCAAGCCACTAGAGAGTTCTCATCTCTACCAGGG